AGCCTGGGAAGTTAAATAGCACTTCCATACATTCTGTTTGTTCCAAGTGTGACACCAAAATGACCTAAATTCAAGGTGAGGGGTTATAGCCCCAACCAAAGAGAGGAATGTTGAAGAATTTGTGATATGCTTTAAAAAAACCATCATCCATAGTACTTAAATCCTTAAGATTAATTGAGATGACTTACGGAAAATTGTATATAGAAAAAAAACTTGAGTTGGACTCTGGGACACTCCAGTATTGACAGATCAGGAAGACAAGGAGGACCTAGCAAAGAAGATGCAGAAGTGACCAGAGAGGTAAGAGAAAATCAGGAGAGTGCAGGAGCCATAGTGGAGAAAAGAGTTTCAAGTAAGAGGGGTGATTCGCACCGTCACATTCTGTTAATAGGTCAAGTGAGATGTGGACTAAGGTTGACCGTTGGCTTTGATAATGTGGAAGGCACTGACACCCTTGGCCAGAGAGATTTCCAGAGTGTGGTAACAGGATTCTTCTACTCTTACATTTTTTGGTTGCCAGCCCCAAGGTCTTGGCTGTATCACCTCGTGTCCCACCTCAGCTCTGAAAAGGAACACATTGGCTTAGTTGGCTTGGTTTTTGACACCACAGAAGGCCATGGAGTCTTTTACCAAATGTTTCTTAGTGATGGAATGCTAGAAGAATGCCACTTATCTTTTTAGTGTTCAAATTCACTAAATAGCTCTAATAGTGGATAATATCTCTTTATAGTTTGCTTCCAAACATATTTTTGAAAATTCCACTTATAATAGAGCTTGCCTATGAAGATTTTTAGTGAGATTAAAAAATAGGGTAAGATGGGCAAGATCCATTTACAAGCAAGTAGGAAATATCAGTTTGTTTTCTTAGTAAACATGTCTTTAAAGAGGAAGGTTTGTTTGGTTTTTAAACTTTTTTGAGGGATTAAAACAAAGCCAAAATAAATATAAAAAAGGAGGGGTGAAAACTTCCTATGCCACTTCAAAATTCACTGAATGGTTGTTTAGAGGTAAACCATTTGTTTTATAGATTTTTTTTTTAAAAACAAATTAGGTAAGACTGAGACTGTTGATTGTATGTATGGAAATCCTTGGCTGATCCTCCCCCATTGCCTGCTCAGCCCTATTTCTTGAAGGACGATGCATGAAGATTCTTCACCATAGGCTCTGTGTTAGCTGTGACTGGCAGGAGATTCCAGGAAAGGGATTCTCCTCTCCTCTCCATGCTAGGGCGGCCTCCCCAGAAGCCCTTGCATCTCCTCTGACTCCAACTCCCACAAGTCTTGGTTTTACCTCCCACCAGCCTTGGGGTGTTAGCAGCTGCTGCTGCAAAAATCCTCTCTTTTCCTTTCATTTGTTCCCTCAGCTCTTCCATCACCTGTGTAAACATTTCCCAAAATTAAGATTCCTCTGGTTTATATGGGTGAATTTTTGTTTTTCTGGTTGGACCCTGACATATATATATTTTGCCCTCTGTCTGGATAGCAATTTCTAATGTCCAAATATGTGAATTAACAACTATATCCCAGTGCTTCCTGTTTACAACAGGAAAGGGAGTTGAGTTTATAGAATTCCATTGATCGTTCAGACCTCAGTTCCACAGTGGTTAAAACATGGGTCCTGGCATGAGATATTGATGGCTAGCTTCTGTGTCACTTGCTAGCTAGGTTGTCACAAGTTATCTGAGGTCTGTAAACCTCAGTTACCTCATGTAAGATAAAGAGATGATAATTTTTCTATTTCATATGATTATGAAGATTGGATAGAATAATGTGCACAAAGTACTCTGGACAGTATTTGCACGCTGTGTTATGTGAAAGAGACAATTATTAATTACAAAGTTTTTTTTAAAACGTAAACCTTTGTGGTGTTATTCTTGTCAGGAGGCAGACGTGAAGTGAAGACAAGGATTTGTTGGCCTTAGAGAGTACTAAACCAAGTTATTCATTTTCAGGGGCAGGATGTGCTAGCTGAGCTGAAGGGGAATGTGGTAAAAATACCCTCACGCTACTAAGCACGAGGTCCTGCTGTGGCACTCACCTATCTTTTGGCCTTGTTCTCCACCACTGAACCTAGAATTACTTTGGAGTTAGAGACAGCCAGGCAAGAGTGCCACTGGTTGTTACGAATACTTGTTGATGGATGGAATCTTTTAAAATTAGGCAAGAAGTGGAGGTTTAGTTGAAGAGAGCTTGCATTGGAAACTAGGCTTCATGATTCCTTTTCTGTTGTCATTCTCCTAACTTCTTGTCTTCTTCTGTCCTCTTTCTATTTGGAAAGGTCAGCATAATTCCCAGCACGTCATAAAACTTTCTCTGATTATTTCAAACAAATTGTGTTTGCAAAGGAAAACATATAACCTCCAGCCCCCCATGCAGAATTTTACAAAGAAGACCTCCTCTAGGCTCTTTACCCACATAACACCCTGCCACTTTCATTTCATAGGAGCACTTCCAGCCCTGTGGAGCTGCTGGGGCCCAGCCTTTCTTTGGCTTAAAACTGGTTTCATTAACAAGCATGTTCACACTTCAACTGGAACATTTAAAATAACACCCGCGCAATGTGTTTAGTGTCTAGTTAATTATTAAGTCTCTGAGCTTGAATTATTCAAGCAAAATTGATTGGGTTCAACCTTCTTCCTTCTCTTTGTGCATTTTTTAAAAATAAAATAAGTTCTCCCCTCTGCTTTCTAAATAAACTGGAAAAGGTTATTAAGTAACCATCAATATTCTGGTCTGTGGGTGGTTCCTAACTGCTAACAAAACAGGTAGAGGACTTGAGTCTTTTGTTAAAAAACCTATCTGGATCTCATATATTTTCGTGGCTAATTAGCATTTATTGAGACCTAACAAATTTTAGATTCTCTTTTAAACTATTCTTTATAGCTATTTCACGTAGGATAAGTAGGTATCTTGGAGTTAGTTCTGTGGTGTGAAAAATAAAGAAAAAGGAAGAAACTGCTTCTTTCTTTTCTATACCACCTCATGTCAAATGAATGTTTAACATGTCTTGGCTTTATTTTTTAAAACCATGATGTTGAAGAATATTTGTTGACCAGAAAAGATGTTCACGATATCTTGCTAAGTGAAAACAGGAGGTTGTAAAACTGCCTTTTATTATGCATTATTTTTGTTAAAGTGTCTGACATAGTCTTGAATAATAAATACTACAATACTGGTTATTATCTGTGTTAATTAAATCTTCCTTTTGCTTTCTTAATACTTTTATAATCAGACAACACACACCCATAAAAAAATGTGATGGCTAAAAATTACTGATTTTCTGCCTAATATCACTGGTGTCAACAACACATTGGGAGTAATGTCCTTATTGAAGCCCTAAGTGTAGACTTGGCAAGTGCAGATTTCTCAAAAGATTCACAATATTTTATGAATCACAGGCACTTGAATAATTTTTGCTAGCCTTCATTTACATACCTTCATTTTTAGTTCTTCCTCAGCTCAGCTTTCCTAGTGTTAAAATGTAAAATGATGCAATTGTGGGCATTAACTTAACATAGAAAGTATAACTAGCACTAGAGGTGTAGAAAAAGAATATAAAGATGGCAATTTGAACGGAAATGACAAAAATGCAATGACCCAATTTAACAATGCATTTAAATGTAGGACCTTCCATGAGAAATATGTTGAGAGAGTTCTCCTGAAATCTGGAAGGTTCTACATGCATCAGGGGTCTTGCTATTCAATGACACGTCTTTATCGCCCAGTTTTCTGCATCGTGTCTCTGGGTTAGGTGTGCAGGCGCACTTGCACACGCACAAACAGGGGTTGACAGCGGTGAATTATTTTTACTCTCTTAACAGCTAAATCCCAAGTCGGGGCTAACCTAGCCTGGGGATAGTCAGCAGCTAGACTAGTCCTGTAAGAGAAAAACAGTGCTCCACGGAGGGAAACTTTTGGGAACAGGGATGGGGAATCCTGTCGTCCCCGCACACTCACGCGTTACTTGAATCTATACAGTCTGTCATTTTCTGTCCTGGGAAATGACACAAAAAGTGTAATTACACACTCAGGAAATGATTCCTGTGGAGTGCTGAGGAACTGAATTTGAGGGGGTGGGTGGCGCGTAGGTAAGGGGCAGTGAGAGAGGCACAGTCTTTCACAAAACTGTTGAAAGCCTAAACCTCGCGCCTCTGGATCCCCTCATCAAACGTGCCACACAGGTGGTGTCTCCGACGACGGCGCCGCCGCCCGCGGGCGTCCTGGCCCTCCCGCCTCCATGTCCTCCTCCGCGGCCGCGCGGCCTCCCCCGGTCCTCCGCTATCCCTGCATTCCACATTGCGGCAGCCGCAGCCTCGCCATCCCGGCGGTCCCCACCCTCTGCTCAGGGAGGTGCCGCCCCCGCGCCCCCGCCCGCGCCCACTCCTGGGCATCGCCGCCCCCGGCGCGTCCGCCGGGCCCGGCCCGGCTCAGCCCGTCGGCGCGGGCGCGGGCGCGGGCGGGGGCGGGGGGCGCGGGCGTGAGCGCGCGTGCCGGGGGGAGGGGGCGCGGGCGCCGCCATATTGGATCCGGACTCCTGGGCGAGCCTCCGCCTGCGCGCGGCGGGACTGGAGCGGCCTCGCGGAGCCCAGGGCGCGAGCGCGAGCGGACCGGGAAGGCGGGGGAGGGGTGGGAGGGGAAGAAAGGGAGTGGCCGCGAGCCCGGCTGCGGCAGCCTCTGGTCTCACCCGCGGCTCCAGCCCCTCCTCCTGCGCCGCGGCCGCCTCCCTTCTCGCCGGGCAAAGATGCCCTTAGCCCAGGGGTGTGAAGACGGGGGAGAAGCCGCCGCCGGAGCCGCCCGCGCCGCCGCCGCCGCTGCCGCTGTCCGTGTCCTTTGAATCCAGAGCCGCCCCCCCCGCCAGGGCGCCGGGACTCGGCGGCGGCTGCGGCGCGGGTGCGGGGCGCCGGGCGCGCGGCCCAGGCCGGCGGGCAGCGACCACCGACATGGAGCGGGCGCGGGCGGCCGCGTAGCCGCGCTCGGAGCCCGGGGCGAGTCCGCGGCGGCCGCGCCTCCACCCTCGGCCGCGCCGCCAGCCAGGCCCTCGGGAGCAGCGGGAGGAAAATGAGGAGTTTTCATCGGAATCCGCTGGAAAGGGGACGCACTGCAGCGCCCTAGGAGGAAGGACCGCGGCAGGAGAAAGGAAAAGCCTCTCCGGGCGAGCCTTGGCGGGCGCCGCGCCGAGGGGCTGCCTCAGGGACCTCGCCCCCTCCTTTCCTCGCTGGAGAAGCCGCCTCTGATGCGTTATCCAAGCGGCGGCTGGGAGGATTTGCAGCAGAATTTTGGGTTTTCCCTCCCCCTTATATACATTTTGGTTGTTTCATCCCCTTTCTGTTTTCCTTCTTCCTGGGAAGTGAATTGCTGATGCACATCGGACTTAATTCATTAGTGATGCAACCGGATTCGTTTCAGGATTATGTTGCACGAGTTGAATTTTGAATGAAGGAGAAGTTTTTTTTTTTTTTTTTAAGAAGTGTTGCCCCTGCTTCGTTGTACTTTTAATTATTATTTTATTTAAATGTACGGCTTAATTGTATTATTCTTTTAAAATTATTAAATGTATATTTTATGGTAACTTTCCCTTAAGATATATGTATATGTGCGGCATTGAAGACGCTTCAGTTAAGTGAGGTTACTGGTGTGTTGGATGTTTAATTCAGCACTGGCATTGCATGACTCTTGTCTGAAGAACAAGTGGTTTATTTTTAAAACCACACCTTTTAAAATTTCGATTCAAACAACTATAGTAAAAACCGTAGTCATAATTTAAAGGAACACCAGCAGAAATTGAAGCAAACATGTCTGGAGAAGTGCGTTTGAGGCAGTTGGAACAGTTTATTTTGGATGGGCCGGCTCAGACCAATGGGCAGTGCTTCAGCGTGGAAACGTTATTGGATATACTTATCTGCCTTTATGATGAATGCAATAATTCTCCATTGAGAAGAGAGAAGAACATTCTTGAATACCTAGAATGGGGTAAGTTTGTATTAAAAAAAAAACAACAAACTTTAGCTGGGCATTATGATGTGTTGTTAGGAGTAAGCGTTCTACTCAGTAATGAGTATATATAAATAAAATACATTGCTTACATGTAAACATTGACATTTCTATACTATATACAATATGTATTTGCGGTACACATTTAAGTACATAGTATATATTTGATAGTTTGTACAAAGTGTATATTATGTATTTAAATATATATTCAGTGGAAGGATAGACAAGAATTCAAAACAATTTTTCTAGTTTTTGGTAAACAGTTTCCCAAGAGTATAGCCATGCTACTCAGTTGTCTTAATGTGGAAGTTAGGAGGAGGAATTTATGTTTTTAGGTCAGCAGTAAGATTTTTTTGAGTAATTCTGTGATGGGCACAACGTGGATTATTGCTCACAGTTGTCTAATGCGTGGTGGTATCACAGACCTTTAATCGAGAGTATTTAGTAGTGGATACATTCCTTCTGAGACTTTGAAATCACTCTCTAAGTGGAAGAAGATAAATACCTTGTGTCAGTAGGAATTTAAAGGTGGTGATCACTGCGGTTTATTTCATCTGTATTGCCCAAGCAAAGAAAGCTGCTTAACATGGACTTTCCCAAAATTGTCTTGTTTGTGAGATAACATGACATAAACGGGCAAAAATTTTGTGATGGTACTTGGAGAATGTTTGGGAGCTGCTTCTGCCTGAGAGTTAGATTTACTCTAAATCTAGATTTACTCCAAACCGGTTAGAAGTCTGTCTTCATGATGTTGATGTGATTTAGAAGACCTATTGTAGTGGAACAGATCGGTGAGGAGAACAAACGCCTCACGTGACCTTGGATCTTGAAGGCTTGGCTTAAATTCTGCTTCCACTGTTACCTAGGGCCATATTTGCCTACCAGCAGGTCTCGCTATTGGAAAATACACATTATCACCCACTCCTATATTGGCACATTGAAAGATAATAGACATAAATAAGTATTTTGTACTTTTGTTATGTTACTTATTTGTTGCAGGTGCTTTTGTTCCCAAGTAAAGATTTATTTTACTGAAGCCAAAGTTAATTGTGATTTTTTTGTGGCTTTGGGTTTGAATTAGTTTGTCAGATAAATCCCTCATTCAGTATTGATTATATGTAATAATTTTATTCAATTTGTCATATCAGACTTTTTTTTTTAGCAACTTGATATTGATGTTAAACCCTATATATTTTATATAGACTTTTTAAATTAGACTACCCGAATCATACAGGGAATGTCAGAATTCAGAACTATGAAGTAATTTCTGTCTTAAGAGTGAGACAGTTTTGATTTTGCTACTGGTTTCGTTAGAGTTTTTGTGTGTAGAACAAAATATTTATAAGACATGTGGTTTTCTAGGTTTCATAAATTTAGAAAACTTTTAGTGTTTTTTTGAAGGTTTAAAGTTAAGGTTTGATATCTTTAGAGAACTGTGGTTCCATAGCTACATTCTAATCTGTGATTATGATTGTCATTTCATGTCTTATTTGCAAAATGATGGGAGAACCTTTTGTATGTACCAGTAGTAATATAATTTTAAAATTATGATCAAGGGGAAAAACATACCCTCTGTTGCCTTACAGTTTTATGCTATGAGTTATTTTGGTGAATTATCAGAATAATTTGTATATATTTTCCACTAAATATGTTTTTTTGGACTTTGTTTCATATGTGTGTATATGCGTACATGTATATATGTGTATATATGTGCATATAATAACTTATACATATTTTAATCAAAGCCGAAGTTTAAATATTTGGCTAAGTACATTTTATTTTTATTAATATATTTTAAATAATTTTAAGCTAGGACTTTTCACAACTTAAAGTAAATTAAGTGTTAGCAGTATCCTTCATATTTTGTCTTTTTAGACGTCTGCTATATGGCATAACAAAAATGTACTTAAGTAAACCCTTTTGTGTTTCTCGGTAACAGAAGGCAAGAGAGTAGAATTTTTAAGGACTTATTTTTGTACACTTTGGGGCTAGGCAGTGTCTGTTAAGTCTCAAGTTTTTTTAAGTTGGAGTACGAAGTCCTGCAAGTGGGTGTTAACCAACCACAGAAGTTTGAGTAAGACATAAGAAAGTTAAGAATGGAAGCTGTCAAAAGATGTGTCTTGAATGTTATTATTTACTATCTTTAAGCTATTAAGAGAATTTAAATAGAGAATTCCAGAGTTCTCGCTTCATTTAGATATTGAAATAGGTCAAGTCGTCTTTGTCTATGAATTGATTAATACATTGTGGGGGAAATCTCCTATTTTACACCTTCTCTCTAACATTACATAGAAAACACATTATATTGAGGAAGTTTTGAGATAGTGAGTTGACTTAATTTTAATTTTAATTTTAATTTTCTTTGGTCTTGATAGGAATTTATAAGGATCGATAAGGGTTAAATTTGATAATACAGATTTGCCTTAAGTGACACATTTTTCAGTTTGAGTTTTAAATGATCCAGTGTTTCTAACAAGATAGTAGTAGTAAATTCTGTGTATTACATACTGTTTGTTTGTATTTGGTTATTTATGATAATGAAAGTGCCTTCTAGATATGCCTTTTTTTCATGCTGATGGTAGGCAATTATAAAAGGGTCAGCCAAAATTCTGTCTTTCTTCATTTCCATCAGTTTCACTTCATTCCTAGTTATGGTGCGTTTCACTTTTATGTTGGTGCAGTTAATGTTTTGTTCATTGTGGTGTCATGACAATAATAAACTGACAATTTGAGTCAGACATGTTGTCTTTTCTTTGACAGTTTTCCTTTCTCTCGGTGCTGATGGCTTGAGGAAGCAGTAGAGAGGAAGAGGACATTGTGTTAAGGCCATAGATCACTTTTGAGTTTACTAGCATATTACTTTCCAGTTATATTCAACAAGATTTGAAAGACTATGTTTTGTCTCATTTTTTTTTGAAATAAAAAGTTTAATCTTTTTAATAATTAATTTTTGACTGAGGTAATATTGGGATATCCCCATCAGATATTACCACTATAGTGCACCCACCACCAATATTCCATTGTGCTTCTTTCCCTCTTTGCTCCACCCTCCTCCAAACCTCCTCCCCGCTGGAGTTTCAGTTCTGAAGTCAGCTATCAAGGGTTAGTTTTTCATCTTGTCGTTATCTGACTATTACTTTAGTTTCTCTATAATCCACATATTAGTGACATCCTCTGGTATTTATCTTTTCTCCTTTTGACTTATTTCACTTAGCATTATCCTTTCAAGCTTCATCCATGTTGTTGCAAATGACATGAGTTTATCTTTTTTAGCCACTGAGTCGTATTCCATTGTGTATATGTACCACATCTTCTTGATCCACTCATCTATTCTGGGGCACTTAGGTTGTTTCCATAATTTAGCTATAGTAAATAGTGCTGCTATAAACATGGGAGTGCAGTTTTCCTTTTAAATTTGCACTTTTGAATTTTTGGGATAGATACCTTGTAGTTGAATTACTGGGTCAAATGGCAGGTCCGTGTTTAATGTTTTGAGACACCTCCATACTGATTTCCACAAGGACTGGACCAGTTTACATTCCCACCAGCAGTGCAGTAGGGTTCCCTTTTCTCCACATCCTCACCAGCACTTGTTTCTGGTCTTGTTGACAGGGGCCATTCTCAAAGTGTAAGGTGGTCCCTCATTGTGATCTTGATTTACATTTCTCTAATAGTAAGTGATTGTGAACACTTTTTCATGTGCCTGCTGACTATTGTTTCCTTATTTTTTAAGTTGATAAAATTTTTTTTAAAGATTTTATTTATTTATGCATACAAGAGCTGGGGTACAGGCTAGAGGTGGTGTGTGTGTGTGTGTGTGTGTGTGTGTGTGTGTGTGTGTGTGAGAGAGAGAGAGAGAGAGAGAGAGAGAGAGAGAGGATTCACCAGAGACAGAGTTGGAAACAGAACAGGCAGATTGACCAAAGGCGAGGCAGGAGAGGTCTGCTGTGCCATGTGGGTAGCTCCCTGGCCAGTGGATTGAACTTGTGCTGCATAGGCTGCGGACAGCTTCATAGGTTGCGTCTTAACCCCTTGCTCCACCAGGGTGGCCCTAAATTGATAAAATGTCCGTGGTTTCCATATTTGTTTGTAATGTAATAGTTTTAATGTCATGGTATGATATTAGAATAAGTTACTGTAGAGTTCTAGAAACAAAAATTACTTTTACATTACAAACTTATTTATCAGTAATGATTAAATGTATGTATTGTTGTTGGATACTCTCTTTGAAATGGGAAATTGGAATTTTAGGAAATTCATGTTAAATAATTTAAAATATAGATATATCAGTGCATTGGCGGCATACGGGGCTATCTATGTATAGCTATCTGTTTTTTTTATGCATCCTAAGTCTTGAACTGGTAGCATTTTATGTAAATTATCCCTGAATAATAGTAATTTCATAGCTTATTCAGTGTCAAATATACACAAAGTAGTCTGGATGATTAATAAACTTGCTAAGAGAGAGAGTACAACAGCAAGTACTGTGGTTTGAATTTTTCCTGTCATTAGTTTTAAACATTATTCACATTTTGTTCATGTGTGCCTCAATTAAATGAGGTGATGATTATTTGATCAGCAAGAATCTGATTCTTTTCAAGGATGGTTTGTTCTTCACTCCTACCATTCTGCATTTTAGCTTTCCTAAGTACATTGTTAATCAGACCAGATTATCTAAATGTCCACTTAATACAGATGGTTAAGTTTTTTTAAGTCCTTGATTAGAATCATCATAAATGTCATCAGACATATAGGTTGAGCACTTATTTCCTATATACTAACCTATTACTAGTGAGCTATACGCTAATAATAGTAGTAAATGAATAACATTATTTGATCTAACACAATTCTGGCACATGGTAGAAGCTTTGTTAATAAGCGGTGGCAATTATTACTCCATCTCTCCCATATTTCTTTTTTAAAAAGAAAAATTGCTGTATAAGTGAGAATAGGGATGTCAGGATGAATACTTTAAGAAC